TTTTTTTTTTTTTTCGCTCTATTGGATGGAAACCCGCCTAACCTGGCAACCCTGCTTCCTCTACGGAAACAAAAAAGGGACAAAACTGTCGCATTGAAGTCCTGTAAACAGCCTGGCGGACAAGAAGGAAAAAAAAAAACAAGAAAAAGTCTGTTAGAGTTCAAATGTTACGATTGTTTCAATACATGCTGAAATGTTAACGCAAAAACACTTATTTTATCTTTTTTCCATTTTGTGCTAAATTTTAACCTAAACAGCCTCAAAACCCTCAATGTGAACTTYAACTTAATGTAAACAGGAAAATGCAGTTATTGAGAAACTCATTAAATCGGTTTTGYTTGTAAAATATTTGTCTGTAAACCACTGATTCAATGTAGAAACAAAAGCTAAATATTCTGTGCTCACTCAGGCTCCATCAAAAGGTTTACAAAAACATTGTTTAAAAAATGTTTTATCTACATCAAAAAAAAAAATTCTACCTGGATTGCTGAGATGCATCAGGACTCTGTTTTTATTTTATTTTTTTTACAAACTGGAGCTAGAATTGTTGTTGTTGTTGTTGTTGTTGTTGTTGTTGTTGTTGTTGTTGTTGTTGTTGTTGTTGTTGTTGTTGTTGTTGTTGTTGTTGCTGCTGTTGCTGTTGCTGTTGCTGTTGTTGTTTTAACAATAAAGCTTTATTGTAAAGACTGCTTAGTATTTTGTTAAACAAACACAAATGCAGCTTTACTGCAGACAGCTGGAGATGTGAGAGAGGAAAATGTGGGTCTTCATTCTTRTTTACATTTAATTTTGCACTCATACAAATATTAGGACAGCAGGTCAGTTTACTGACCAATAATATTTAGTTATTTATTCACCATTTTACAATCAGACCCGGAATCAGACTTAACAGCTGAAGCTGATAGTTACAGGGAATTCTCATCACAATATTTATACTGAATAAGAAGGAAATGGAAATTATAGTTTTCCACAACACAGATTATAAAGGGTAACTAGTTTAAACAGTTATTAAACTATTGCTAAACAACTTTGAGTAATCAGTCAAGATTTCTCTTTATCTCTTCTATAAAGCAAAATGAATATTTGGGCAGGAATAATTTTGTGTTTTTATGATTTTAGATAATTACTTGTTAAATAGTTATTTTTGGAAATTTGAGTAAAAGATTATATTCACTTTGACCAGACTGAGTGATTTATTAAATTAAAGGATGTTATTTTATCAGCGTTGCATAAATAACATAACCAGATCCCAACTGATGTCMTCAATCTCAGCTCCTTCTTGGGGTTGATGCTGCAGGCCACGGTTCACTCAGTTGCTGCCTGATTAGAGTCATGGGACTGCTTCAGGTCAATGAGCAGGCAGCTGATGAGGTTTGTGGGCGATCTTTAACCCTTTGATTGGCCTATCTCCAAGTCTTGCAGAGAAAAGGCACGTTGGCCTTTTCGCATTTACTGGAACTCTAATTTGCTTCTAACAAAATCTTTTACCAAGCAACTTCTTGCTTTCTTTGCTCAGGAATAAAAGACGATGCATCAGACAACACAGGATGAGGGAAAAGATGGAACTGAGCTCACATGTTTGAAGCTCCCTGCTCAAAAAAACACACACACACACACACACACACACACACACACAC